CTGCTGATCACAGCCACAAGCTTTGGCAATAAAGGCCAGATAATGGTAGGGAGTTTTCTAAGCAAAAAAAAGTGCTCTGGGTGTCAGTATCTGTTTTCTTCCTTTCCTTTCCAGAGGCTTTATTAAAATTTTGCTATTTAAATTAATTGCTATTTAAAGCATGCAAAACACAGCAAAAATATACAAAAACTCCTTTTTGGGTTGCTTTCCTCCTTTTCCACTGCAGAGGAAGAAAGCTGGGCTGCTGTGACAGTGTTCACAGGGGTTTTCAGGTGAGGGAAGAGAAGAGAATGTTGACTCTATGTTCAGAAGGCTTGATTTATGATTTTATGATATATATATTACATTTTAACTATACTAAAAAGAATAGAAGGAAAAGTTTCATCTCAGAGGGCTAGCTAAGCTAAGAATAGAAAGGAATGAATAATAAAGGTTTGTGTCTCAGACAGAGTTCAAGTTAACTGGGCTGTGATTGGACATTAATTGTAAACATCCAAGATGGGCCAATCACAGATGCACCTGTTGCATTCCACAGCAGCAGATAACCATTGTTTACATTTTGTTCCTGAAGCCTCTCAGCTTCTCAGGAAGAAAAATCCTAAGAAAGGATTTTTAATGAAAAGATGTCTGCGACAGGCTGCTCTCTCCAGCCCAGCACTCAGAGGAGGGCAGCTGTGGAGCAGCCCTCAGGAGAAGGCAGAGCCTTGCTGTCAGCAGATGGTGCACTCATCGGGAGTAGAAACAAGAAATACTTTCCAGAGAGTGTCTGGCACTATGGCAGCATTGTCTGGAATCAGTTAGGAAGAGGACAAGGTCTTTGGTTGGTGTCTCCTTGCAATGTCAACTTTAGCTTGTTGGAAACTTCCCAGCTCATACTCAGAGTTCTGTCCCCAGAAAACTCTTTGTTATGATACCACTATTGGCTTTCGTCTACAAATTACTGTACAACTTAAATGTCAGTATTCAAAACTTGAAATGCACAGGATTTGTTCAGCCAGAAGCACAAATGAAATTTAGTTTGGGCTCCTGGCAAGACTTGCTTTCACATTTATCAAACTGACATTCAAACCAAAGTAGTAAAAATACAGCTAAAATATCAGGTGCCGTTGAATGCCTGGAGAAACCGTGGCAGGAGTGCTGCTTTTCTTTCCCTCTTATAATCAAATTTATCTACACATCGGAACAAACATCTGCATGAAGTATTTAGTGGTTCTTTCTTTTTTCCCTTGGATCTGGTTTTGCATCTGAACAAGCCAAGAGCTCAGCCAGCTTGGACAGGGTGTTTGTGGCCTGTGAAAACCCTTTCATGCTCACAGTATCTGGGGTGTCCAAATGCAGGCTCTAAAGCCTTGCTAGGCACCCCAGGTGTGTGAGTGAGCTAAACAAGAAAGATTCCAAGGAAAGATTCCAACTTCTAAAAGACTGTCTTGCCCAGTAAAGCCAATTTTCAGCTTCAGTCTTTTTTGACTTGTAATGTGGGGCAGTAACTCTGTTCCTGCAATTAGCAGGACTTGCACAGCACAGGTATGCCAAAGTGCTCTTCCTTTTCTCATTTTGTAGCTCAACAGGATGAAAAAGCTGACAAGGCTTTTGCCATCTGTCATATCAAACCAGTTCTTAAACTAACTGTTGGTATCTTAGTTGAAAATACTGTTTTTCTGAAGCTTTCTTCCCTCTGAATAGGATCTTCTACCTTTCTTTTTCACATTTTCTGGCCTCTTCTGCCTGATGCTTTTAAATGCCCAATATTTACTTCCTCTCCAGTGTCATGGTGCTGGGATCTGTTCTGTAGACCCTTCCTGTTGCTGCTTGTATTGTTGCTGTTCTGCTTGGCACTTGTGAAGCTCAGCATGCCTGAGGTCAGCAGATGTTTCCAGATGCAGCTCTGAAAGACAGGTCCATCATCATCCCAGCTGCTTGAAGGGACTCCTTGCTCCTAAGTCATGTTTTTCCCCCATATTAATTTGAGATGAAGAAGGAGGAATATTTCTGGTACCCTGTCTCAGGCCCTCAGGTAGCCACATGGCAAGGAAAGGACTTGGAGAAACTGGAGGACATGGACCATTACCTACACGTCCTCTCCTATTTGTTTCCTGAAGATGGAGCCCTATTTATAGACAAACTTCACTAGTGTTCCCTCTGGGGAGAAGGGAAGAGGAAGAAATGATACAACAGAACAACATCATCTGTTCAGATGGGGAAAAAACTAAGAAAACTAGCAAAACTCCCCAAGTAATTAGAAGGTGAAAGTGGGGCAGGATTTCAATTTGTGGGGCTTTTCCTTATCCAGAACTAAAGTTATTTTGGTTTCAGGTCATTGCCACAAACCAGAGGAGCAACAAAGGGGATTTTTACATTTATTTTTTTTTCAGACATATCTGAGACATTGAGAAGGAACAGTCATTTGCAATGTCCTAGAAAAGAATGGGAAAGAGGGAGTGCAAAAGTGGCCTATATAGCAGAAATTGCTGCTAGCTCTGCTTCAAAAGAAAAGTAAACGATCCTGATAAAGGAAAGGGCATTGGAAAAAATACTCTGATATCATATCTTGTTCTCAAGTTTGTGTTCACATTGTGAGAAGTGGGCACCATGGTTTATGCATATAAGGATGGCAAAGCATACTCTGTTTACCTCCTTCTTTGCCTTTTGCTTTTGAAGGTATCTTCTTTCAGGTTGAAACATCCCATGCTCAGTTGATGAAAAGATACAGATGTTTTATGCTTGAGAAGAGGGAAAATAAACATTTCCTGTCTTCTAGAGCTGATGTAATAAATGTGGTCTGTGTGGTTTAGAATGGGTGTGTAGCTAAAACAACTAAATCACAGAAAGGAAGATTAGCTGTGCTTGTGGTGCAGTGTGTGTCTTTATCCTTGGTTTGGATTTTTCTCTGTTCAGAGTTCAGGGTGAACTGCAGTAGGAATGAATTGTATGTGACACTTCACCTCACCAAGCTGGAACCTGAAATAACAAGAATTGCTTTTGCAGAATGAGACAAATAGGAAGGAAGAGCATCATGGATAAAAGGCAGTTTGTTGCAGTTCTGCTTAGATTTTTTTCTCAGCTTTAACTAATTAATTACATGGACAGTTTCTCTGGTTCTGTGTGTCATTTTGAATAGGAAAGAAGAGAAGTAGGATAGGCTAAAACACCAGATCCAGGAGGTCCAGCAGCACACTGGATGGCTGATACATCTCAGGCTGTGGAGAAGGGATTTGCAGGAGAGTTAACAACTTTCAGATCTTCTGAGGGATATTCTTGGTCTAATGAATAAAGTACCATGTACTTTTAGCTGTCATGACTCCAGATTAAGTACAGTAAGGACATTTCACAGGTGAGTAGCTTCCAGCAGGAATGTGATGCATCTGTTTAAACATCAGCCTTAGTTTTGATCTCTGGTTCTTGGGCTTGAGATGCTGCCAGTTGTGCTGATGCTTTCGTTGGCAAAGAAGAGATGTGATCTCATAAAACCTAGTAGGTAGTGGGGATTGATTCTGTAAAATTGGATAGGCCTGGTGTTGCCCGATAGGATGTAATGAATAAACCATCCAGCTTTCTGTGCAGTAGAAGCAATGAGACATTTGGATACCACTGTACACAGGCAGTAAGGAAACTGTAAGTACTTTTCTGCCCATTGGCACAAGTGAAAGCAGAGCCTGTAGCATTTCTGCTGCCCTCATTCCATGCTGCTGCCTAGAAACCTGGAGGAGAGGAGGTAATCAAAGCAACATCAGCCTGAGTCTAGGATTGTCCTGACTCCTCTGTTTCAGAACATGACACAGTTGCTCACAGGGTCACTGCTAATAGGAGTGCAAAAGTGTTGGCAAAAGAGAAGGAATTTCTCGGCAATTTTGTCTGCCTTCTGCTTAATTGTGGAGTATTTAATCTGCCCTCCTTGCTACGTTTTGTCTGTCTCTATTTGTATTTGTTGCCTGTTGCAAAGTGATGCCATGTAAAACCAGGAAATACTCGTCTGCTGGGCAGGAGGGGTGGGGCATGAGTTAAAATACACTCTGTGAACTGCTATCAGCATGAATGGCAGAGATCTCGTCAGTGTGCTGCATTGCATTTTGTTTTCACTCTGTTGCTGCTGGTGATCCTCTGCTGTTGGCAGCCAAGAAGGTTAGGATTTGGGTTTGTAAACATGCATATTTCAGGAAGCAACTGTGTTATGAAAGAGGAAAGCCAGCCGCTGGAGGGGAGAAATTGAAGTATTGCTTCTGTGCTTTTGAGAGTACTCAGTTGTAGCTCACCCTTCTGAAGATGCAGGTCTGGTGCAGCAGTGGTGGGGTTGCCTGTTCACATATGCAGTGCTGCTCCCTCTCTGCATGGAGGACAGCACAGACACTCCTGGCTGGCTTAGCAGCCTCCAGGCCAGGATCCTTCAGTCCATGCCAGCACACACCAGATCAGGGTGTCTGGCACCATGGCCTATTGCCCATGGGGCTGTTGGCCCTGCCAGTTGTTCTAAATCCAAGTAGAATTGAACATATTTAAGTTTGTGTACAGTCCTGGTAGATGTCTGGCATAACATTCCAGGCTTGCAGCTGCACGGAATTTGATAGCTAAGTTTTCCTTACATGTTGTATTCATATAAACTATGTAGATTGTACTTTGAGGCTGATGAAAGTTGAAGTTTTGGCGTGCTTTGACTTGACTGTAGATAATTTTCTTATCCCTGTAGACCTGGGTTACAAGAAGAGTGTTCTTAGTTTCAGCAGGTGAAGTTTGTGTGAGGGAATGTGAAAACTAGAGCATCTGAATCCTTCAATCAATTAAAACTGAAAAAGAGAACAGAAATGCTTTTCTGACTACTACTGCTTTGAACAATGATGTTATAATGACACCTCAGTTTTTTACAGTAGATACAACATGAACCTTATCCATGTAATGTAACAGCAGCCAGAAACTTCTCCACCTGAGTGTTTAATGCCTTACAGAAAAGTGCCTTGCAGACCTCTTACGTGTGTGATACATTTTGCTATGTTTATTATGTTTTCCAGTGTATTTGAAAAGGATCCCAATGGAGTGGATTCTACTGTGAGTTCTAACCACCGGACCAGAAATCTTCTGGAGTTCTCAGCTCACCAGGAGTCCAGCACAGCTCAGAAGATACCTGAGGGCATCGTTTCTGAGAAGAGTAACAGGTGAGATCAGACCTTTTACATATTTTGGGTGGCAGAGGGCACTGGTGCTTTTAGCCCTCACTGCCTTGCTCACCTTTTTGGCCGGTGCTCTTGCTGCTTTTACAGGGTACCTGAGTTCTAAGCACAGTGTTTTGAAAGCTTCTCAGTTTGCTTTTCAAATGAATATGATGTTTTATCTCCCAGAGTACCCAATGTGTAGAGCTTCAGAAGTGTACACGTGGCTGTGCTGCACAGTGTTAGGGAAGGGAGCTTATCCACAAGTGCTTGTCACCAAGACTTTCAGGACCTTCTTCAATTCAGCTGTTTGCTTTTTTCCTCTGATCTATAGTTTAGGTTGCATAGTTGTGATAGCTGTCATGTTATCTATCTCTTCTTACTTTTCATGCTGGAGTACTTGTTTTCTTAGTTGCTCCAGAGAAGACTGGGGAAGTTCATGAGTAAGAACACACTATGCACTTAGCAGTCTCTTTTTCATTTTAAAAAGTCCATCTGAGTCCATCCCTGTGCTTATCCATTATTTAATTCAATACTGTCTCTTTCAGGCTTCCTAGATCTCCAGCATGCAGTGTATAAGTGAACATATAATTGCCTCCAGATTGAAGTCTGGCTAATACAGCTCATGTTTTCCCGTTACAAGATCTATCCTATTAGACTGTCCCTTTCCAGCAGAGTGTTTTGGCTGGTTGAACAAAGCCAGGCACAGATGTGCAGAAAGCCCTAATGTATTTTGCCATGCAAAAAGAAAGCAATAAATCAGGAGCATTTTAAGGCTGTAGCCATGGTGAGGGCTTTGTATCCTACGTGCTGCGTTTCAGACCATGACCTGTGGGACAGAAGAGTGGAGTGGTTCTCTTAGGAGGATGTGCTCGTGCCTGTACCTCCTTTTCTTTCTCTGCTTCACCCTGGGTTTGGCAAGCTGTGAGCTCTTTGCTGCATATTCTTTATCAGTCCTAGATGCAGTAGAGAGAAGCGGACATGAAGTTGGAGAGAAAGCTGGGAAAGGGAGGGGATTATGAATAAGGCTTTCATAAGCTCTTATACCTGAATTTTCAGAAAGAAGTTGAGGTTCAGGAGCTACAAGTCTGTCAAAATCAAGAGGACTAAAGCTGTTACATTGATAACCAGTCAAGAGAGAAACCTACATTAGATATTTGGTGATAAATAGTTAACCCCTCAGGAATTGCTGAGAGTGTTATGGATTTTTGTACTGAGAAATACATGCTCCTTTTCAGTTCTTATCAAAACTAAGCTAGTTTCTGGAGACAGAGATGTAAATCTTCTCCATTCAGTTATAATATAGTTTGTGGCTGCTCAGTTGTTACATAGGTTATGGTCTTTCTATCTGCATGGTTTTAGTGGATAATAAATTTAGTATTTCTGTAGCAAGTCTTCCAGAGCGCTGGAATGAAAAAGTAAGTTGTGTCTGCAGACATCACATAGTTTGCATACTATGAGGAATATTTTACAGACTACATATTCTATCAATATCTGGCCTTCTTGGGAAGAGATCCAACATCTGCTAATGCTCATCTGTCTGCCCTGCACTGAGAGCTGTCAGCCTCCTTTGAGGGATTGACTAAGAACATTGGATGTTTGATAGGAATTGTTACTCACCTGTTTCAGAGGTCTCACTGGAGCAGCTGTAACGTTCATGGATCTGCTGGTGATAGTGCTCATTCTCTGGTCAAAGGGTCATGAAAAAGTTTTTTAAGGGATTTCTTGCTGTGCTTTTGTTGATTTTTCCCAGGTATGACCGTTCTGTATCTGATAATAAAGCACTAATGATAGTCTCAGAAGAACCACTGTTATATATCTCACCACCACCACCCCCCTGCCGGCCTCTGATCAACAGGACAGAGTCGCTGAGGTGAGAAAACAACCTGTTGAGAGCATTTACAGTTTATTAGGGGTTGATACATCAACTCTGTGTTGGCCGAGTGCTGCTGGACAGCTGTGGATGATACTGTTGTCCATTCATGGTGTTTATCCAGTACGTGACCAGTGTCTTCTAAGTGTCTGCGCTGTCCAATGCCTGTCACAGACACATTTTATGAAAAATCCTTTCCTTAGGATTTTTTCTCCTGAGAAGCTGAGAGGCCTCAGGAAAAAAATGTAAACAATGGTTATCTGCTACTGTGGAATGCAACAGATGGAGGTGTGATTGGTCTCATGTGGTTGTTTCTAATTAATGGCCAATCACAGTTAGCTGGCTCGGACTCTCTGTCCGAGCCACAAGCCTTTGTTATCATTCTTTCTTTTTCTATTCTTAGCTAGCCTTCTGATGAAATCCTATCTTCTATTCTTTTAGTATAGTTTTAATATTATATATATAATAAAATCATAAATCAAGCCTTCTAAAACATAGAGTCAGATCCTTGTCTCTTCCCTCATCCTAAGACCCCTGTGAACACTGTCACACAATGCCTGCTGTCATAAGGACAGATCTACTTGGATCTTTGTAATCTTTCCATGATTTTTAGTAATGATTTTCACCACTCTATTTTCACACTGGTCATTTGCAATAACCAAATAACAATTTTCTGATTGTCTGGGGGGTTTTCATGACTTAAAAGAGAGATCACTTTCATATGTAGAAGTGTTAATGATGTAGAAATCAAGTCCAGCTAAAAGCCTTTCCCAGCTGAGTTATATAAAAGATGGTCTTCTATTCTTCAGCTTCTGATAGAAGCAGTCTGAACGTGACATTGCAGATGTTCTTTTTTCACTGTTCGAAAACACTTAGCTCCACTTTTTCTGTAGATATGAGTCACTAACCTTATATCCATTCTCTTTGTCCATTCTTTCTCTCAGATTTATTTGCCAAAATTCATCCTTAATCAATAATTTGTCTTGAATTAATCAACTTTTGATTTTAAATTTAAGTGGTCCCTCCAGTAATTTCAAAATTACTGTTTGTTGGGCAAAAGGAAGTATAAAAGAATGGGTGTTCCCACATCTATTTTATGTGGGAACACCCGTGAATCTAATATTTATAGATAAATCTTAAAATTGTATTTTCTTCCTGTGGTATTAAAAATAAGTTATTATAAGGTGAAATAATAGTAATCTTCAGTGTCTATGATGCCTTGTAGTGGCTACCTAGAACAGAGGCTAGACAAGACTAACAGAGTAAAAGCAGGGTATTTATTAAAGGCCTTCAATAGGTACAGCTTGGGCAGTCGAAGCCCACCCAGAGCCTACACCCAAAAATGGATGACAGGTCATGGGTTTTCATACTTTTGTATGTTTGGTCCATTTGCATATTGGTGGTTAATCTTCCAATTACAGGTTCAGGTAATGAAGTAATTTAACCCAAGTTTGCACCCCCCCCCCCCCCCAACTCACTTTTGTTTATGTTTCTCAGGGCCTAAGGCAGGGAGGTGTCTTTGATTCCCAGGCCTAGAGAGGAATTGTTGTGTCTGACCAAAATGTAAAGACAGTAGCTAACACTGTATATGGAGTTTAGAGCTATACGCTAAAGAACTGCAGGATTACAAGTATATGAAAAATATACAAGCTAAAATCCTAAGGCATCATCTATATGGCAGCTAAACTGTTGTATAACACTAAACCATTGTGCTAGTGTTGTTTGCAGTCTGTGCTGATGCTGTGCTTTCCTAGGCTGACCCATGAGCTGCGAGGATGGGTTCACAGGCACGAGGTGGAACGCACGCGGTCCCGGCGGCTGAGCAACAGCCAGCAGCAGCGAGCACGAGTCCCACAGGTATGTGAACAAAAAATCATTCTATGGAACACTCTCCCTCACTTGCTTGCACTTGGCATCATAGACAAAAGTGGCCATCGTGCCTGTAATTAGGGCAGCCAACACATCCCATTTTAAATTGTGTGTTTGGTTATTATTACATTGTCAGATTTGTTCTTCCATTCCTGCTCTTGGATTCAGGGTTTTGAATTGGTTTTTGCAGCCATCAAAAAATGTTCAGCATTTTCTAAAATTAAATAAATTGTTATCCTTTTTATGGCTTCTCTGTAAGGATAAGCAATTGCTTAGTGGAGAGAAATACAACCTCTACAGCACATTCATCTGACTCACTGTTAAGGGTGACAGCTGATTCATTTTGTTGAAATATTTCTATTATTTTAATAGAATTTATTGTTTAAATTATTGCTAGAGGGATTATTTTTTTTGTACGACTACAGAATTATGAGACATGTGCTCATATTTCTCATTTTTTAAAATCTCTTTTATCTAGATGGCATACTTATATCAAGGCTGAAATTAAGACAATGAATTTTCAAAATATTTAAATTGATTAGATGTAGCAATGTTGCGGCGGGCGGTTGTCCAGAGTGCCGTGACCTTCCCAAAGAAGCGTCTTGAAAAAGACACCTCGGGAGCACAGCGTGTCTGTGCTCACACCGGCTGATTTCAGCTCTGTCGGGACCCAGGCGACGCAGAAGGAGAGACAGGGTCTTTGTGTGTGCTTCCAGGGAGAGCCTTTATTGAGCTTCTTCCTCAAAGGAGCCCAGAGACAAAGAGCCACTTAGGCCAGGAAAGCAGGAGTTTATCTAGGGATCTCGAGGGGTAGGACACAACACCAGGACCAGTGGGATGAGGGCACAGGGGTGGAGCAAGGGGGAAGGGCCAGTGGGGTAGAAGAAATCAACCTGCAGTCGCAAAGGTCTCTGGGGTTAATTTTCTTGCCCTCCATTACCAAAAGGGTTGTAGCTTGGGTTGGCCCTCCAGGGGGGTGTGGTGGGCTTTCCCTTTGCTTATTCTCTGGCCCCCACACAGTAATAGCTTTAAAAGAATTGAGCATTACAATGTGGGAAAGACTGCAGTATTCTAGAGAAGAAGTGTTGTGTATTAAACTTGAGATCATTCTCACCTGTGTCCAGAGCAGAATGGATGAATGTTTAGAAATGTTGTCTGTGGTGCCAAGCTACCTTTCTCGTCTCTGAATGTTGGCTTCAAATTTGGCTGTATTAAAATCTTGCCGGTTTTGTTGTTCCAACTTGATTGATGACCATTTCAGTTTCTCATGTTTCAGTGGAAAAATGCACGTTTCTGTTGCAGGGTACTGATTAACCTCTGCCCCCCATTCTGTGTGTTGTATTTAATGTAGTGGCAAACCACAGAATTGCTTATTGGTTTCACTTTGTGTCATCTTTTCTTTTTTCCCCTTTTTCAGAGCTCCCTCAGTGACAAAGCAGATTCCCAGCTAATGGCCATGCCTTACACAGACACCAGTCTCAGGTAAGGCAGAACAGCTTCTTTGTTACTGCTTTCTACTTAGTAACCTAGTTTTTCACCAACAGTTGATAAAGAATGACCATTTTCATCTTCTCGGGGTTCTTAAGCCAAATACATCTACTTTTCTTGGTCTAGTTCTGTCCCTTAGCAAATAACAGCTTCTAATTATTTATATTACAGTTGAAGGGACCCCTGTATCACAGCTGTACTCTTCCAGGGCTTTTCTAGCTATGAATTCTAAGAAAATCTTTGCTTTGCTCTCCAGAATCCCTTTCTAAACAGATTTGAATATTTAGGGAAAAACAGGGGGAACTGACTTTGGACTCTGAGAACATCGTTAGTTTATAAGAAGGTTTCAAAGAGCCATGAGTCTGATAAGGGAAAGGTTTCTCTCATTATCTTCAAGGGTAGAGCTAGCACCAAATTATTATGATGAACTTAAAGTACCATTGTATCTCATTTGCATTCTTTGTCTCCATCTGCTGACTTTTCTCTAGTGATTATTGGAGCATGTTAATGGATAGTTTCCTGATGTCCCCTGCGCACCCCTCCTCATAACTATCCTGTCCCTCTTCCCTGGGAAGTACTGGACAGAAAAGATTTAGGAAACAAAATTTCTCTCTCCTGATCTCTGTGTGAAACTGTTTAGAAGACTGTCTGCTTTGAAGTGCCAAAGAGGAGTGTAAGAGCAGAATGGAGTATGGAGGGGACTTTTTGGTGAGAACACCACCTGAAATGGTGCTGTGGGAAGTAAGACAGCTGTGGCCCTCCTGTTTGCACTGCTACTTTGAAATCAGCATCAGCCTGGGGGAAAAGAGCAAGCTGCAGGCAAATGTTACGGAAAACAGGCTGTCAAATTTTGATACATCTTGACTTACAAGAAAAAAAAAAAGCTTTTTGAGTTCTACAGGCAGATGAAGGATAGCTGCTTCAACTGAGCACTGATGAACAAGCCTCAAGCCATAAGGCAGTTTAATATACATGCTTGCATTACTCTTGAAAAAGAATTATCTGGATTATTGGAAACAGCGTGAAACATCATGCATCTGTTGTATTCCAAAGGAAGTGAGATTTTTTGGGGTTTTTTCAGATTAAGGATGTTTATGTGAACAGGACTGGTGAGTCATGGCAGCTGCATACTGAGACTGTCCTGGAACTGCCAAGAACATATAACAGATTTCCAGTTCTTCTTGGAGCCACCAGCTATTAGGTGCTCCATGAAATCATAGAATCAAGGGAAGTTTAGGTTATAAAGGACCTCTGGAGATCTCTAGTCCAATGTCCTACTCAAAGGCTTAACTTCAGGTTTACTGAATGCCTCTGTTAGAAGACTCTCCTTCTCCATTGTAATCTTTATCAGGAAGCTGAGGGTTGAAAAGAATTTCAGTGAAGTCATAGCAGTGGAGGAGATAAATTTAAGATGATTTAAAAGAAAATCATCAACACCCCTCATCTCTTTATAGTCTGTGTAGCTTTTTTCAGAGGTGATTTTGTTGAGGGCTTATGTAAGAGTGCTTCTTAAGGCTTCAGGTATCAAAATGAGACTCTCCAGTTATTTTCCTAAGTTTTGCACTGTTAGGATTGTGGTTCTTGATGCATGAAGCACTGTGTCCTGCTTCATTTCTTCCCAAAACAAGCCTGTGTGCAACATCCCAATGCTCTGTGATGCATAACAAGCAGTGTCCTTCAGAGTTTTAAAACAAAAGTTCTCTTTATCTCCCAGTAAATAGCCAGGTTCAGCATCATTGTTTGGGATACGCAATTTAAGATGGTGCTTTCTTGTAATATGCCAAAGTGTTACTTAAAAAACGATAGTTTTGCACCTGGTTTTGGTTCTGGAGTTAATCCCTCCCTTTGGTGGAGCGGTCCATCGCAGTTATCGGCAGATGTGATGTCCTGCCTTGCAATATGTCACAGCATACACATATGTTGCAGTTGAGATGGCCATGATACACAGAGTATCATCATACAATTTCAGAAAGCTTCAGCCCTTACAGAGTAACACCATACCACATCAGAAGGCTTCAGGTGTCTGCCCGTACAGAATGACATCATATCCCTTCAGAAGGCTGCAAACATCTGCCCCTCTTGTTCTTTAGCCCAACCTTTGATACCTCTCATTGTTCATGCATTGTACCTGTGTCCCCTCTGTTCCCTTCTGTGATTGGTCAGTACAGCTGGGCACTCCATGTCTCATTGCTTTCAATACTGTTCACTTGCTTTTCACAGTTGTAGCCCATTAGGGATGAGGCTTGGCCACAGCCGCATTCCCAATTACCACAAACTGTGTACCTACAATAAGCCCCTGGTATCGCTCATATTCGATGTTTTACACAACCAGGAGAGCTTTGGAAAGACCCTGTGGTTTCTAAGTGCTTTGGGGCAGTTTTTTCCTGGGCTGGTTTTCAGGTCTTGTTGTGTCACATGGAATGTGGGTGAGCACACAACTCTGTGTACCCTGTGTCAGTTCTCAGGATGTGTTGTATGTGCAGTGCTGTGCCTTCCATCACAGCCCAGCTCCAGTGCTGGTGCCTTTCATCACAGCCCAGCTCCATGCTCCATCTCAGGAGGGACTTGCTGTGCCTGCGTATTTTTGTGAATGAGTAATCAAGCTCAAATTAGCTCCAGTCTTTGTTTCCTGTGTGTGAAGGACAGGAGCTGTTTCCTCTCATGCATAGCTCTACAGAAAGGGATGTGTAGAGTAGAGCTGCCTGCTCCTGATCCCCCCAGGACTTACACCCCCAGTCCTATGAAAGGGCAACTGCCCTGTCAGCTGCAGTCTTCTGCTTGTAACAGGACTCGGTTAGCAGTGGAAGAGAAGATGGTGACAGCCTGTTATTACCGCTGCTTGAGAAAATCTCTTGGTGATAGATTTGCCCCTTGTTATATTTTATAAACGTACTAAAATAATCTAAATTAGCCCTCCCAGTTCAAAACCTGGGTCAGCAGAAGACAACTTGGTAGGGGAGGGATGCCTGGTCAGTGTCCTTGCTGCAAACACACAGTGTGCTATTAAAGTGGAGGAAATTAAAATGACAGGTTGAAGGCCCAGCTAATGGTTTCCCTGAGTACAGCTTTCCAGTGTGATTAAATAAGTTCTTTTGGAATGGGATTGGGGAAGTATTAATGATAGCAGTATATGCTAGGAATTTCTCACCTTTCCAAGATAAACAGTGGATAAGTACCATGACTGTAGGAATTGCCAGTGTTTTGGCTTAGAATGGTTTGGAGCATCTTTTCCTCGTGTCTCATGTGTAAGATGAGAACCGTGGAAAAGATAAGCTAGAATTATGTGAATATCTTATTTTTGTTCCTCTGTCTAAATTGAAATCAAGAACAAACCTTGGAGTAGACCAGGGGAAAAATCTTTGAGTTGACAAGAGGACACAGCAGAAAAAAAGAAAAGAAATGTGGGTGAGAAAGAAGGTGAATTTGTCATTTGACAGTAAATTCAAAGCTTTGTTTATGCTTAACTTTGTACTTCTTTCAATTTCAGTGGTTTGGGTTCTTAGCAGTAAAAGAAAATTATTTCATTACTAAATAGTTTGGTACTTTGTTTCAGAATGACATTTTATCCTTAAATTTATTTTCAGAAGTCATCACAATTTTTCAGACACTTTAGGTTGAAACCTTTTTTTCCTGTTGAGCTAGCAAACAGGTTTTTGCTGGCCTCAGAAGCATGAACAAAAACAAATCTGGAAACTTTGCCACAGTAAGACCTTTGAAACACCTTGAACTTTCAAAAAGTACTGAGTAGTTTCATTGTCTTCACCTGTGTTCTGTGTTCCTCAAGCTTCTCTCAGTGGAGGAAGAGCTGGAGTTCCTTGAAAAAGCAGGTCTCCAAAGTCTCACTGAAATTGACTGTCTTGTCTAAAATAATTACCTTTGCCCTTCTTTATTTCAGCAGGAACTCAGGGAATGAGCTGCAAGTGTATTATGCCTCTCCAAGGAGCTATCAAGACTTCTTTGAAGCAATTCACCGAAGGGAAGATACCTTCTATGTGGTGTCATTCCGCAGAGTAAGTGTAGCAGGGGCTGGTACTGGCCTTTTACTCAGGTCCCTAAGATTGCTTCTAGCAGAGATACCAAAGATGACTTAGTCAAGATTGAAGGTAAATTTGTTTCTTGTGAAATTATGCTTCTCTGTGTCCTTTACAAGTAACATGGCCAGATCATGGTCTTTGTAAAACATGCCCATCATACTGGGAATGGAAAGAGTTTTGCAGGAAACATTATAGTGCCAGGGCAAGACAGCCCAAAATTGCATGAACTTTGTGGTTCAACACACATTAGAGCTACTTAATAGGGGTACAAACCTTCTCTGCTTCTGAGTATAGGAACAAATATACCCTCTGCATAAATTATTACTGTTAGCACAATACAGTTTCTGTCCTCCCCTAAAACTCTTGCATTTGCAGTTTTATGTATCACATATTGCAGCTGTACAGACTGCATGTGCAGGGCCACAATTTTTCTGCTGTTTTGTGACACAATTGTAAGTTGGCACAGATGAGCAGGCCTGCTGTCTGTGCTGAGATACAGCAGAGGCTTGTGCTGCAGCTTTGTCAGGCACAGCCTCACATCTGCAGCACAGTTACTGATGGTAAAAGCTGTTATAAAATGGAATTTCAGGTGTCTGATGGCACTTTCTGCACTGCAAGCCTGACTAGTGTCAAAGCCAGGACAGCTGCAGCAGTGAGAAGCTGGTTGGGATCTGGTGATGGAAATGATCAAGGCAGACAGTGGTTGAAACACCAGCCTGGAGTTGGAGGAACTTCTTTCCTCCCTTTTGCAGAGATCTCGAGGAGTCATTAGATATGTCTGTTATGCACATTTGGCTCACCCTGGGCCTTGCTGAGCCTCCTGCCCTGCCATTTTGCAGTTGGGGTATTAGATGAGAATGTGCATGTTCTGTGCATGTTCACACCCAGCTGTGATCCTCCCAGGACCCTGCAAAGCTCCATTTGTTTCTTCTTCATAGGAGAGACCCGAGAGGGGCCCTGAAGTAGTGGGCACCAGTAGTGGCCATGACAACAGCTCACCCAGCTAAAACCAGTTCTGTGTAGGAACACGCAGATCAGCACAGCTAGTTTGAGCAGCTCCTGTGTTGTCATAACTACCAATCTATAGATGCCATAGGTACATAGGTAATACAGCCCTGTTCCACCTGGTACATAGCAAGTTTCTTGATTTGTGAGATGCACGTCTGTAGAAAAGGTTCAGGCAAAATAAAAATAGCGGTGCTCTTCTTAGTATTAAGGTTTTATGCTGAGTAGAAATATGAGGTTAGCTTCCAGTCTTGGTATTACTTGGTTGTGTCACAAGGCTGGAATTTTGTTATTAAATGCTTGGCATGTTCTGCTGTTCTTTCAGCTAGCAACACAAATATAGCCAGCACCAGGCTCCACATATCCTGAGGATGAGGAGAAGGGAGCAGAGAATAAGTTTTCCTGGAAACTCTGAACAAAAATCAGAGCAGTGTTTGTAGAGTTCTGCACTTGGGGCCATTGCTTCAGCCCACCTGAATGCATGTACATGTCCATAGGTCCTGTTTACACTGTTGGGTTAATGACCTGGAAGTTGTCAGCTCTCATTTCAAGTCGCAGAGCTATCCTTGGAAACAGTGTGTCTTGTGCCACAGAATCCCTACAGCTTGCTCTGCTCTCTTGCTGGGAGGGATGCAGGGGCCTTTTAAAACCATCTATGAAGTTTATTTGGTTGCAAAGCTTTTGGTATTTCTGTTTTATGAATGAAGTGTCCTCAAATAGAAGGCAGTTTCATGCATTACCTCATTTATTGTTTAAACAGGGCAAACCTGATCTAGCAGCAAGCTCTGCCCTGAGGCACTTTTCAATGATTTGCTTAGATTCTTTTGTGAGTGCAGAAGAAAGGACTCCTGCACAGCCAGAGGGGTGCCATCAGCAGGGCCCCAGCCTGGGAAGGTGCCCTTTCACCTCCTCCTGGGGATTGCTGACTTCATTTTCTCTGGACCGCAGCTCCCTTTTCCCTACTGATTAGGAGCTGTAAGAGGACTGATTCCCCCCACAGTGCTATCCCAAAGTTCACTTGTGTTGCTTGTGCTTGTCCAAGTGAGGAGCCAAGGCCTGGAGATGAAATGTTTTGTTCTCCTCTCTCGCTGTTTGCCATGCAGACACTCCCACATACTTAATAAGCTGTTACAGCCCTGTAACATAAAAAACAGAACAAGAATGCTGTAGTTAAAAGTTGCAGGGAGTGGGTGGTTCTGGTTGTAGTGCTCCAAGTGGAAGGTGGATTGTGGTTGTCAGGAGTTCCTTTCCACTTGATGTCCCTGGATCCTCTTTCCCCATTTCCTGCTCTGCAGCCTCACAAACCCCAGCATTTCTCCTGGATGCCTGTGATAAAATGGAACATTTTTTGTGTGTTCTCACTTGCACTGCAGAAGCCATGCCCTGAGTTCCTTGAATTTTCTAGAAAATGGGATTTGCTAGGGCTACCCCTACCTCTTACATGGTAGGACTCAGCCAAGACGTCTGGAAATGCAGGACTGGGAAGCAAAGCTGTTGCACACTGCATGTTCTTCTGGTGATGCTTGCTACCTGTAAGACTGAGATTCCCATGATCTCATAAATTTTATTTTCTCTCCTTTGTCTTGGAAGGCTTGCAGGTCCGCATATTTACAGTTAAAGTTTACGTGGGTTTTTTTTTCCTTTTTAAGGAGGAGAGAGGAAAATAAAGTAGCATTTGGATCAGCTGAGTCCATAGAAGAAGCAGGGCTTTTGCTCTGGGTCTAAAGAAATGAATTTGTTGTTATTATCAGGGGAATCTGTAATGTCATTTTAAACAAGAGTCTGCTGCTCTGCCAACCCCCTTGATTTCTGCTCTGTAATGTCTGTGATACAAGTCTGCATGATGTGTCCTAAAAAAGCCCAGTGGAGTGTGGGTACAAAAGCCCAGCTGGTGGATCTGAGGTGCTTTGTCAGCAGGGAAGAGACACCTGGCTCCTCTGTGTGAGCCTGGTGTCACACAACTCTCTGTCAGAGCTCACATCTAGTTTGCCACAGAGTATTCAGGCCTTGCAATTGTTTCTAGAATTACCTGAATAGCTAGCTTAATGTGAAAAGTAATTAACTAAATCATTGGAGAAATCAAATCCCATCCAATTTACTTTGGTCTCTAAATGCTGCTTCAGATCATTCCACCCTTGTGTGGTTAGGATCAGAGTCCCCAAAACTTGGAGTGATTAAACAACTTGGGAGTAGATTTCTCCATCCTGGAAGGTTCACTCAGTGATGACATCTCTGCAGGCTTATTTAAGGACGGTGACATTTTTTAGGGTAAGAATGTAATTACTGTTCTTAAGGGAAACAAAGTTTAGAGTTTAATTCGCTTGGGAAGTTCAGAGGACTTCTGGCATTTCCTCTCACTACTTCTCTATTTCAAAGCAGAAATGTCTTCTAATATCAAAGTTTGCCACTTGCACTTATTCCAGTGCATATAGAGTATCTTACAATAGAATGTAGTAAAAAGTAGATATTAAATGGTTTCTGTTTCTTAGAGAAAGAGTGATGCTGGCCCTATGGGAATCAATGGCAAAGCCTTTACCAGCTTCTGTAAAACCAGAAATTGGCTTTATAAATTTCTGCTTCAGTGCCATAAACCATAGAGCTTCAGGGAAACCTCTTATTATGAAAGTAAATTTCTGGTCCTATAAGCCAACATCTGCAGTAAGCATTTAACAGCTTTTTGAGTTCTGCAAACAAGTTTTTGCTGAAATTATTAAGCCAAATTTCAGTCAGAACGTTTGTTCTTTCTTTATTTGCTAGGAATAAAAATGTCTAAGTTGAAATGTGCTTCTGTTGGTAATAAGCCAGTCCTGTGCTAATTGTATTTGAGATGATATAATTGTATTTGGGATGATCTGTTACTTTCAGGAAGCAAAAGATGATAAAGGCTGGCTTTGACATGCTTGTGCAGCAGCAGTTTGCTGTGCTGCACACACTGCTGGCAACAATAATTTGAATGAGGCAGGTTCCAATTCACTGCACTCCTGATGCCATCAACATCCGGCAGGGAAAACTGCTTTAGAAGAAGTTGGCTTCAGATGATGTTTCACAGCCAGAAATTCAGTCCTAATATATATTTTCCTCCTACTTTGTTGCACTTGACAATGGGTGGTTTTTACTGAACATAGTGTTTTCTGCTGTTGACTTTTTTGTGGATTTCTGCAGACTGGGATGTGTAATTTGGTGCTTCATTCAGATGAATTGATTAGACCCACATAGTCCTGCTGCCCTATCTATCTAGAGATAGAGCAGCTATTCTGTTTGAATCCTGTGGATTTGCAACTGCGGTCTGTTAATATGCAGATTTTTGAAAGATTTTACAAACTGTCCTTTTTCCTTTGGAGCCTGACCTTAGTAGCTGTTCAGAGGAAAAAGGTTACTTTATCCCAGGATTGTAGGATTTTTAGATCTTGTCTTATATTTTATAAATATGCTGAGAATAATATGTGGTAAAAGAACTGAGGTTTAGGGCATAGTATCCATGATAAAATGGTCTGTCCTTTTCAAAGCAGAGCTCACCCTTTAGCCTGTCTTCTCTGTGAGGCCGATTCATGCCTCTCTGGGAGAATTTAGAAGCAAACAGAATGTGTAATTGTGCTTCAGCATGCCCTGAAGCTCAGTGAGTCAGCCTCTGTCAAACTACAGCTGTATTTGACTTTCAGATTTGAAAATCCATTATGAAAACCTCCTGTTTCCATCTAAGTGTCGATAGTGAAAATTAAGTCTGGCCTGTTGTAGTCTTTGTTACAAATTCCATCTTTTCTGGCCAGACTTTGGATTCTTTCTGTGTCAGGGAATTTTCTCCTTCCAAATCCCCAGTGTCCAATGAAGCTTGCCTCATTGGTTTTGTTTCTGCTGTTTCTTGAACTGTCTTCCTTTCCATATGGAATATTTCAGGTTGGTGGGGAGGAGGTAGAGGTGACTTTCAAAGGGATGGAGAGGTGATGGGGAGAAGGTTTCTCTGTGCTTTTTCT